AGGAGGGGAAGTGAGGTGGGGAGATGGCGCCCTGCGGTGACTCCTGCTCACCCACCGCCCTGTCCCCTCCATTCCAGAACAACCTGAATCTGCTCTGAGACCTGGCCGTGCACGTGGCCCGCAGCCTGAGGGACAGCCCGGACTGGGGCGGGGTGGTGGCGCTGCACAGGTGAGCAGTTGGATGGATGCACCAATGTAGACATTGTGACTTTAAGATTACAGATGTTTGTGCTAAGTCGCCCTATTCTCTCGGTTCACTCAAAGGACCTTCCATTTAGGTGTAAGATATGCAGAGAGGGGTTTAGGCCACAAAATGAGCTTAAAAAGCCTATGAAGACTCTGTGGTCAGACAGTAAGTGCGAGTACTGTGAGCACAGCACCACACACGCGTTGGGCTTCAAGTGACGCGTTATTTCCATGCATACAAAACAATCCTCACCCGTGTGAGTACTGCAAGGGAGGAAGACCTTCGGAAAACAGTTGACCTGCCCTATAACAGCACTTCTACAGACAATTGCAGAGATACGGGCCTTGAAGCAGGAAATTCATTTTAAATCCAATGAGTCTAGTTCACCTACAATCCTGTATACTGACTTGTGCTGAGTACAAATAGAATGTGGTTTCTAGTTAACTTTTCTTTTTACAGTTTGTTCGGTAGTATGTTCTGAATTCTATCCAGTTTTTTTGTGTGTGTGTGCCGGGGATTGAACTCGGGACCTTGCCCTTGCAAGGCAGGCGCCGGAACCACTGAGCTAAATCCCTGGGCCACTATCTAGTTTTTTAATAAATGGGGAAAAGTAACAACAAGCTAGTTGCTTTTTAGTAAAGTGATCCCTGACTCTATACTGAAGAACAAAAACCAAAACACTTCACTGAACGATTACTCCTTCTGCTTTATTTTCTGGCAAGCCTTATAAAAGACAAGTGACCCCCTTGCCCTGAACGCTAGGTCTTTGTTCCCAGGGCATTGGATGAGGGACCCCAGGATAGGCAGCAAAGGCATCACCAGCTCAAAACTGCTGCTCTCTCCTTGGACAGCCAAGTTCCATCTTCCTGCACGGTGCTCATGTCTGTGTGACTTTTCCTAACTGCCCCTTGGTGACCACGTCAAGTTCTGTGTTCAGATCAGGACACAAGCCTGGGTGTCCAGATGCTCATGGCACCCGAGTGTGCCTGCAGGGTGCGGTGGCCCCAAGTGGAAGTGACCCAACCCTACCCCTGCCATGGTCCTGGGGTTTGTGTTCCTAGGGGATTCGCATGTTGAAATCCCAACCCCAAGCGTGATGCAAGGGACGATCTGGGAATACGGTAAGAAAATGTAAGACAGTGCCATGAATCCCCTCAGAAGCCTTTCCCTGGCTTCGAACACACTCATCCCGTGGCTCCTGCACTTTCTGCAGCAGCTCTGGAGTCCTCTCTCCTGAGGTTTTGGTTGCACTGTCTCGGCTGCCTCGATGTCCTACATGGATTCCAAAGGTTTCCCTTAACTATGGTCATTCTGATGTTGGGGAATAGCCAGAAGTACACACAGTGCCACCGGAGGAAAAAGGGATGAGGACACTGACAGTTTTGAGCCTGCCTTTCACGTGGGTAGCACTCAGCAGCAGCATTCACCACATTTTTTATCACACCCGGTGAACTCCCCTATCAGGAGGTGAGGCTTTTAAGGGGTGATTATGTCACAGGGCCGTGAATGTGGTTAGTGCCATCATAAAACAGGCCTGAAGCCGGGCATGGTGGTGCACGCCTGTGATCCCATCCTTAGAGGCTGAGCCAGGAGTATTGCAAATTTGAGCCTAGCCTGGGCAACTGAGTGATCTGGCAATACTCTGTCTCAAACGAAAACAAAAATAAACAGGCTGAATACATGGTTCAGTGTAAAGGCCGTGGGTTCAATCCCCACTACTGAAAAAGGAAACAAAACTGGGAGGCTGCCGACATAACTCAGTGGTAGAGGGCCTTCCTCTTGCACACTAGGCCTTGGGTTCAATCCCCAGGAGCATAAGAAAGAAGAAAGAAAACTATTGACAGGTACATGCTGATGCACAGCTAGGCATTGAATCCAGGGCGGTAGAGCCACTGGAGCTGGGCTGTCACTGCCCCGTGGAGCCGGCGCCCAGCTCAGCCCTCTGTGCTCGCAGGCTTGCGTGGTTCCGCAGCAGCACCTGTGCCTCCGTGCGCCGGCTCATCCTGGTGGCCTTGCCCTGGAAGCGGCCTTTCTTCCCCACTCCTTTACCTTCGAGGACCTCAGCCACCCTGCGGGGCAGAGATGCAGCCAGGGAGGGGGCTTCGGGGAAAGATGTGACACCCCAAGGGCAACCGGAGGTCAAGACCCTTCCTCAAAACCCTGCAGCTAAGAGGGAGGAGGCTGAAGGTTCCCTAACCCGGAAATGACAGACAGTAGGGAGAGGGAAGTGCTCCCGACCCCAGCATGCTCAGCCCACACTGTACGTGGGGATGACCGCACAGGTGTGGACAAGCACATGTCCATGTAAAAAAGGTTTAACCCGGGCGTGGTGGCCCACACCTGTCAATCCAGCACTCCAGAGGCTGAGGCAGGAGGATGGCCACAAGTTGGAGACCAGCCTGGGCTACATAATGAGTTCAAGGCCAGTGAACTACAATGTGAGACCCTGGCTCGTAAAACCAAAAATAAGGAGGGGGTGGTGCTGGGGATGGAGCTCAGTCCAAGGGCCCTGGTTCAATCCCCAGTACCAGGAAACAAAACCTGCTTGGTTGCCTACTGATCCTGTGGCCCTTGTATTCAAGTATCACTCATGAATCCAAATTTCTAAAAGAATAAAACATGAGCACATGAGATCTAGAGCCACAGGACTGGGTTCGAGTCTTAGGTTCTGCCACTTCAGCTGTGAGAGCTCAGGCAAGGACACAGGGTCCCCTCGTCAGTCAGAACAGGACGCCAGGGGTGGCAACACCTCCCATGTGCTGGCCAGCAACGTGGCAGCTGACAGCCAGGCTCTGAACCACGCCAGGAAGTCAGGGGCTGCGGGTCTGCCACTGCCCATGAGGCCTGCATAGCTTTACCTGGGCCCCAGGGTCTCCACGGCTTCAGGGGGCCCGGCCAGTAAGAAGAGCCCTGGCCCCTTCTCGTCTCCCACAGTCAGGAACAGGAGGGTGTCCTGGAGGGGACAGGACAGGCAGTGGGGTGTCCCTGCAGTGCACTGGCCCCAAGGCCATGGAACCTTGCAAGCCATCTCAGGAGCTTGTGTTCAGCAGGGAGGAGGAAGCAGGGCCACAGATGGGGCGACATCCATGTCCACTGCCTCAGTCTCCCGCCTGCACTCCGATTGGTCTGGTGACCCAGGAGGGCTCTACGGAGCTGGCCCGGAGTCTGGGCACTGCCAGGCCACCCGCTCTGCCCCCTCTACCAGCCGCCACTAGAAACCACAGAGGCCCCAGAGGCCAGCCTAGGCCTGTGCCATGCTGCTCTCACCTCGGCTCCAATCTCATTGGCCACGATGTTCATGAACTCAGAATCACCCTCCTTCCTGCACATAGAACACAGACCTGAGGCCCAGGCACAAAGACCCCGGCCCTTGCGGAAGGGGAGTGGGCTGAAGGCCGCATGGTGCCCTCCCAGCCTGGCCCATGTGAGCGATTGCTAGGCCCACTGTCTGAAACAGGGCTCCGAGGAGGCAGCTGTGAAGTTCCGGTGAGGACGGGATGATCAAACCCAGGAGAGCTGGTTCCCTTGGGTCTCGGGGTCCCCTGGTGGCGCCCAGGACAGGCTGAGCATCCATCCAACTGCTCACCTGTGCAGCGCCACCACCCCGCCCCAGTCCGGGCTGTCCCTGAGGGTGCGGGCCACGTGCACGGCCAGGTCTCTGAGCAGATTCAGGTTGTTCTGGAATGGAGGGGACAGGGCGGTGGGTGAGCAGGAGTCACCGCAGGGCGCCATCTCCCCACCTCACTTCCCCTCCTGGCCCCCCGAGGCCGAGGCAGGAGAGTCTACTGCAGACCCGGGCCAGGCCTCCCACCCCGTGGACCAATCACCTTCTGCAGGAGCTTCACTGAGCTCTGGAGCTTGGTCACCACCTGCACGTGGTCCTCGGCCCCACACCTGCGGGACAGGAAGGTGCAGGAGACACCTGCTGACCAGCTCGGAGCAGGCCCGAGGGCAACGGGGTAGGGACAGAGAGGGGCAAGCGCTCCGGGTCGCCTTTGTCATCCAGAGCTGTGACTGCGTAGGCCCGCGTCTCCGCCCATACTGTGGACTGCTCTGTTCACCCTGCAGGGGGCAGGGCTAAGGGGGTCCAGGCCCTGAGGACAGACGGGGCCCCCGACGGGGACAGGATGGGGACCGGGATGTACTTGAGCAGCGCAGTGAGAGCCTTTTCGTTTGCGTGACTCCGTGCCACCCATTTCAGCACTCGGTGCCCGGCCAGAAAGAGCAGGTTGGTCTTGTTCTTCTTCCCCTTTTCGATGCCCAGGACCTTGATGACCTACCGAAGGGGTCACACGGCTCTTGCACACAACCCAGAAGCAGGAAGGCACAGCCTGCCTGTCCCCACCCACCTCCCATCCCCCTGCACGGCAGCCACAGCGCCACGGCACCCACCTGCAGGTCACTGAGGTTGCTCACGTGGGTCCCGCAGCACATGTTGGCGTCCACACCCTCAATGGTCACCACACGCACGGGCCCCACATGATCGTCCGGCAGCCCCCGGCCCCGCACCTGCTCCACCTCGGGGTCATCTGGGCTCAGCTCTCGCACACTGACGGGCAGCCGCGCGCGGATCTTCTCGTTCACGCTCTGCTCAATGGCAGCCACCTGCTCAGCGGTCACGGAGGGGCTGTCCAGCTCGATCACACTCTGAAGCCGCCCCAGCTCCCTGCCCAGGAAGGAGGCCGCTGCTGGAGGCACTCACCACCACACTGAGAGCTCGCAAAACTGCTCCTACCAACAACTGCCTTTAATCCCCACAAAACCCCACCCACAAGGGCCAGGTATTGCGGCGCACACCTGTCACCCAGTGCTCCGGGAGACTGAGGCAGGAGGACTGAAATTCCAGCCCAGCCTGGGCAACTGAGTGACTTTGAAAGACTGTCTCAAATTCAAGGGCTGGGGATGTAGCTCAGTGCAAAACCCTGACTTCAATCCCCAGCACCACCAAAAAACCCCCTCAAGGCAGGAACCATTCTTCCCACCTCACAGGTTAGGGCATTAAGGGACACACTCAAAGCCATGCATCCAGAATTGGGGGAAGGGGGTTCACCCCAGGCCTCTGAGCTCCAAACCCCATGTTCTCCCAAGCAAAGGCAGAGATCCCTCTTGTCATCCTTGTGTCCCCCTAAGAAGCACAAGGTCACCCCCTCTGATCTTCAACATGAGGAGAACCTGTCACCTCCTGTTCCCAACGCATCGGGGACAGGCTGGGAGTTGGGGACCATGCTCCACAGGTAGTCCTGTGCTCCTGCTCACCACGAGGTTGTCTTCAGTCCAAACAGATGCTCGGCAACTGCGGTGATGAGGTGTTGCCCTAGGCAACAAGAGCAAAGGACAGGAAGAGGGAGATGTCAGGCAGGCACTGGGCTGGGCCACACCTGTGACCCCAGTACTGGGGAGACTGAGGCAGGATGGAGAGGTCAAGGCCAGCCTGGGCTACAAGGTCAGACCTTGTCTCAAATCCACCAATCCCTAAACAAAGAAAAGCGAGAAGCCCAGCTCCACACCCCACAAAGATAAAGTCACAGACTCTGTCCTTGCTGAGGACCTGCGGCCCCACAGCCCCTTACAACTGCTCACCTGAGACTCCATGGGGCCATGTCACAGGAACAATCATGGCAACAGCGCTTGCTGGGGCAAGGTGTGAACCTCAGTTCCTCTTTTTATTAAATATCCTACCAACTGATAATTGTGATAAATGCATAAAGGATTACTGTCCTTAATACAGAAAACTTGTGTGCAAAGTAATTAGAACTCTGAAGATAAACACTAAACACATAATGGTTCCCTGTGGACAGAATTAAAAAAAAATAGTAGGCAAAATAGTTGAAAAGTGTTTATCTCACTCTAAAATGAAATAAAACAAGGAAAATTTAAGTCTGTACTTTTGATGCTGATACATATTTTTAAATAAATGTAAAACTATAAAGAGGGATAAAGATTTTGTTTGATTGCTTTTTGAGACAGGGTCTCACAATGCAGTCCAGGCTGGCCTCGAACTGCAGCGATCCTCCTGCCTCAGCTTTCCAAGTGCTGGTATTACAGCTATGCACCACCATGCCTAGGCATAATTTGTTTAGTACTGTTTCTTTCTAATGAATTGACCATTCCATTTGCCAAGTTCTGAAATGGCCAACAGACCATAGAAAGGCATCTCTCTAGGCTCCTGCTTGAAACCAACAGCTCCAGAAAACTGCCGGCCTTGATTCAGGGCCAGTGTGTCCAGGTCCTGATGTGTGGCGTCTATGCACGCATTCATCATTCAGTAGATGCTTCCCGTGAGCCCACACTCAAAGGGGAGGGCTTCTCTCAGAGGCTCAGCATCGGCCCTGAGCAGTGCTGTCCACAGTGAGGAGGAAAAGCAGAGATCAGCTAAAGGTCAGAGGGAAAAGGACAGCCAGGTTTGAGGAGCAGACAAGACTCGAAAGTGCAGCAGCACAGCACCAGGCAAGACCCCAGGAGCCTGTGGGAGGAAGGCCCTTGGGCTACAGGCTCTCCCAAGGGTGTGGCAGCCGGAGTCCCAACAGCAAAGGCTTTCCTGGCTGCTAAGGCTAATCGGGCCAGAGAGGAGCCCACTGACTGCCACCAACTGCAGCCACAGAACCTGGAAGCACAGGGAGCGCTGGGACCAGGACAGCTGCAGCACCCAGGACAGAAAGCGCTGGCTGAGGAGCTGCCCCAAGGAGACCCCCAGGGTGAATTCCAGGTGACCCTGACGCCAGGTGCTAAACACAGAGGCCCAGGGCAGACCCAGCAGGAAGGGACCCTTTCTCATTGCACTCCGGCCCTTCAGACTGAAAGAGGCTTCGAGACAATCGGGCAGAGGTATCAAGGCGGAGGCCAGTGACACCGAGGCCCCCAGTCACACCAATACTTTCGTTGCAGTTGTTCTGCTCCTTTCCCGCGTTCTGTCCTACCCTGGTGAGTCGGACGGACTCTGAGGGGGAGACCCCCAACTACATCCCAATCACCTTGGCAACCACCTGTGCTGGCCACACCCTTACCTGAGTGCTGTTGCATGTGGTCGAAGCGCCGCTCCCAGTCCACGTGGACCTGGACCCGGCTCCCGGGGGCCAGCGGTGTCTCTGTGAAGTGATCAGCTTCAGCCCCCCGGCGGGTCACTCTCAGCACAGGGACATTGTCAATCATACCCCTGTCATCAGGCTGGAGAAGAACAAAGGCAGCTGACAGCCAGGGCTCAGCCTGCCTGCTATAGGGAAGTCAAGAGACAGACCCAAACCAGACCCCTCTAGGGGACAGGAGGGTCCCCTGTGATCCACAACAAGCACTTCTGAACGCCTCGCTCTGAGCTCCTATGCAGTCTGCTCTTCAGAGCAGATGACAGAATTAACAGAGCAAGAGAAGGGAAGTACAGCACTGAAGGTTTTAGTAAAACCCAAAGAAACTGTATCCTTGCTGTTTCCTAATGTAGATTCTTATCTTTATTAACCTCTAAAATGGCTGGGCAGGGAGCACATGCCTGTAATCCCAACTGGTCAGCAGACTAAGGCAGGACAATCCCAAATTAGAGGCCAGCTGGGTATGATCTGAGACTCTGCCTCCCAAATTTAAAACAAAAAGGTCTCTAAAATGATCTGAATTTTCCTGCCTCTCACTACTCCATACTCTGCATTGCTACCAGGATAAGATTCAAGAATATTCATTCCTTTAGAAAAGTATCAAGGGTCAAGTGCTTACAAGACACTGTGCCAGCCCGAGAATACAATGTACCTGCTGTCAAGAGATCAACCAATAACAAATGCTGGCGGGGGTGTGGGGAGAAAGGAACCCTTCTCCATTGTTGGTGGGAGTGCAGACTGGTGCAGCCACTGTGGAAATCAGTATGGAGATACCTCAAAGAACTAGGACTAGAGGTCCCATTTGACCCCGCTATTCCCCTGCTGGGTATCTTCCCCGAAGAATTGAAAGAATCATACCACAGTGATATATGTGCACCCATGTTCATAGCAGCACAGTTTGTAATAGCTAAAGCTTGGAAATAGCCCAAGTGCCCATCAACTGGAAACTGGATAAAGAAGATGTGGTTTTTTAATAAAATGGAGTACTACTCAGCCATAAAGAATGAGAAACTAGACTCATTTATAGCTATGGATGCATATCAAGGCCATACTCTTAAGTGAAATAAATAGGACACACGTGTAAATACCGAATAGTTTCTCTAGTGTGAGAAACTGAAAGTGTAAATAGGGATTAAAAGGATTAATAACAGCCCGGGATTTAGCTCAGTGGTTCTGGCGCCTGCCTCGAAAGCACAAGGTCCTGAGTTCGATCCCTGGTACCAAAAACAAAACAAAAGGATTAATAATGAATAATTGATAATTTGAAATAGGAAAAGGTCCAAAAGGGAAGGGGTGGTGGGAGGGGAAGAGGGGAAAGGAAAAATTATGAGAAAAGAAAAAAAATGGAAATGAAGTCTATGTAAATAGGGAAGGGTGGAGGGGGTGAAGGGCGCACAGGTAATGGGAAAAAAAATAAAAACCAAGATACATCCTATACAGGTACAAGCACCCACTGGCAAATGCAAACGTATTGTATACCTAAAATGTACCAATAAAAGAATTTAAGAAAAAAAAAAGAATACAATGTAAACAAGACAGGGGCCTCCTAGGACAGACACAGAGATTTCCGGCAGCTGCAGCAGGATCTAGACCCCGGCGCACATGCCATAGGTTCACCACCACTGATCTATGCCTTGCCATGATACTGAAAAGCACACGCTGCTTGAGAAACTGAAGTTTGAGGCCCAGGCAAGACTTCCTGAAGGGATCTGCCTACCTGAGGCCTGGGATGGACACGTGAGGTCGCAGGTTTTCCTTCAGATTAGGAAACCTCCGTGTGGGAAAATCGCTGGCATGCACCTGCTCTGTGTTCACACTGCACTCACTGGAATCCCGCAGAGGCCTCTTCTCCAGCCCCAGCCAAACACCTGGTGCTAGTTCCCACCTTGAGGTCTGGGTACCTGCCCTTCCGTCCCTCTGGAACCCTCTCCCTCGCGCACCCTTAGGTAATTATGATGCCTCGCCCCTCCCTTCCTCTAGATCCACACTGAAGTAACTGGCTCCTCTCTGAGAGCATCCCAGCACTCCTGCCCTTGACTCAGCTTTATTCTCCTTTATTCTCCTGCCTGCTCACCACTTATTCCTGGCAGACAACCCATGCAAGTAAAGACACTGACTTGTCATTCTTTATCCTTAGAGCCGGGACTAACACTGAGCATGTTTGATTTCGGTTTTTTGAGACAGGATCTTGCTATGCAGTTTAGGCTGGCCTCAAACTCGCGGCGATCCTCCTGCCTCAGCCTCCCACGTGCTGGGGTTGCAGGCATGCGCCCGATTTAAACACGTTCCGGGAGTGTCTGTAGATAAGTGTTGAAGGGAGGGTGACACACACTACCGCCCTACCTGTCCCCCGCCCTCGGGAAAGAGCAGCGTGTCCTCCAGCACCACCTGGAACCCGTGTCGCACCACCTTCTGGCCTTTGCCCACCTCGGCCGGCAGCTCTGCGGGGCGGCAGGCGACCACCACGGTGGAGAACTGGAGGGGAGGGCCG